GAACGGAACGGAACGGGACCGGAGGCGGCGCCGCCGCCACCGCCTCGGGGCCGCCCCTGGCGCTGCCGCCTCAGCGCCCAAAGAGCAGCCGGGGAGGGTGTGAGGCGATCGTTAGGGAAAGGTTCCCGGTAACGAGAAATAAGCCTCCCCTGCCCTTTCTTCTATCAATGCAGCTTTGGAGTTTGTTTTCCAAACACTAAAATCCACCACAATTTCCAACTAAGTGTGGTCATTTCAGGAAACCCYCCGGTTGGTGAGTTCTGTAAGTGCTCTGTGCCCCCCCAGCAGGGCAGTTCCCTTGAGATACCTGTTCTGTAGCCCTGCAAATGAGGCAGGGTCAGCGCACACACTACTTAGATATCTGAGGATAAGGTTGAGGAAGAGAAGGCAGTGGAAGTGTTGAGCAATTGAATTTACCAAAGGAAAGTGGTGTTTTTGTTTGTTTGTTTGTTTTGTTGTTGTTGTTTTTTAATGTAACAGGCTGCCCAGAGAGGTTGTGGAGTCTCCTTTTCTGGAGATCTTCAAACCCACTTGGACGCAGCCCTGTGCCACGTGCTCTAGGTGACCCTGCGTGTGCAGGGAGGTTGGACTAGATGATCTCTAGAGGTCCCTTSCAACCTTAAGCATTCTATGATTTGCTAAGAAAAGGGATGAAGACAAAAGAAATCTAGATAAAGCAGAAACACCCAACTCTGCCTTCTAGCTTTTAGCTGTTGTCCAGAGACCAAGCTCAAGGGCCTGCAGACCAYCCACTTCCACTGCTGGTCCTGGCTGAGCCCAGGGCACACAGGTCCTGGCGTCCTGTCCTTCCTACAGCATTTACCTACTTACAAGCAGCTAGGCCTGAGCTAGTAAGACCCGGCGTTAGAAATGCTGAAGATTAGTAGGCAGAGATGAGCGAATTTCTGTGCATGGAGCCACCCTGGGTCTCATCAGACCGGCGCTCAGGCATCTTAGCAACTGGCGCTGCCGTGCTGGAACAGGAAACACGGGATGCCGAGACATGCAAACCAGGAGCAGGGATTGTCTCGCTATGTCCAGGCAGCTCCGCATTTCTGCTCATGTGCCCCAAGCTAGTCTGTGCAGAGCCGGGTGTATTTACCCATAAACCAGATAATCCGACCATAGGGAGAAGAGAGTGTAAAGCTGCTCATTGTTATTCAGAGGATCACAAACATCTAAAAGCTCTCTCTTCATGCAGATATCTCTCTCTCTCTTTTTTTTTTTTCATAATTTCCTATGCAAATATATACAAATATGAAAAATCTTCCAGGTTCCCATATGTGAAACCAGTTTTTTGAAACTGCATGACTCACTGCAAGGATTATACCTATCTGTCTCAGTTCCAAATAGCTGTGCCATTTGAGCAAATGGAGTGACTTGATAGCTATAATGGAAATAAATTTGCTATATGAACAAGCAACCGAATGAGGAGGTGACTAACATTTTGCCAGCAGGTCTCCTAGATGACATTAATCTAATCTTGTTATTTGCAGGATATGGCAGTTAATATGTTCTAGTGGTGCAAAGACACTTGCCTACATTATTCCTTGCCCTTCTTGCAGCTCTCATCCTCCAGCTGGCTGCTGTCCTAGTCCCTCTCAGTAGTTTTCTTCCACTCTAGAAATAGTGCATTTTTATTTTAATGAATTCTGGGAGGTCCATGCTAGTATTCTAGCAAAGGGAGCACCACGAGTGCACAGGATGCATTCTCCCCGCTCAGCTTTTGAAGAAGCAACTGTAGGGCAGATCTTGTTGAGTTATGGATGGAGCTGCTCAGCAGCCCTCTGCTTCAGGGACGTGATCCATTCCTAGAGCACAGAGAGGCCTTCTGTTCAGTGCAGATTCAAATTCCAGCAGGTTTCTGCTGATTTCCCTTTCTCTGGTTACATTGGCTAAGTCTGTAGGCGTTTTCATGGGAATGGCAACAGGCTAATGCAGCACGAGCCATASCAAATCTGTATACTCTGCTTCCCAGGGTCTACAGAATCTCAGCCAAAGTTATGTAATAATTTTCATAGGGAAAACTAGCATATTTTAGATAATTTTTGTGGGAAAATGAGAAATCTTAAGGAGAAATTTTGCAGAAATGAACAGACAAAATTCTGGGGTGTGGAAATTTCAGGCAAACTGTGAAAGTGTGTGAAAGTAGCAAACAACTGCGTAATAGAATAATATGAAGAGTTTAACAACTTTATCTGTAAGCTTTGCTGCTAGTATCATACTGTATAAGGTGATAACTTACAGTTATATAAAATAGTAACTTCAGTTCCTTCTATTGGAATGCATTTTCACACATAGATTAGATCAGTAAACCACACGTATAACTAGAAACATCATCTTTTTCCTTCCTTTAAAGCTCTAGTGTTTGATATATGGCTGGAAAAGGTAGAGAAAGGGAAGGATGAGCTCCCTTTTTTTTCCAGTCACGCTACTAATGTATGTTGTTTCCTCACAGCCTAGTTGCTAAGCAAGTTATTCCGGAGGTTGGTTCTCAGATCCACGATCTAAGTGTGCTTGTTTCTCCCTCTATAAAGGCCTCGACTATCCAACGTGAGGAACGTGAGCGCTCTCACGGCATCTAGCAAAGCACCTTTGAGTGTCATTAAGTACTTTGAGCATGTGCTCGAGTTTACTGCTGATGAGGGATGAGACTACTCAGATGTGCAAGTACTTTTCTCACCTGGCACCCAAGATACAGCTCACATTTCAGTTGATGTAATAAGAGTTTGCTGACTTTCTCTGGCACTTCTTCAAACAATTATAGTCTAGCAGGTCAGAACTATGAAGAAATGAAGTGATTCAGAATCTTGTCCAGGTTTTAGGTCTCCTCGGATGTCTTTGGTCAGATTTGGCAGGGTTTTTTTCGGCAGTGGTAATGGTCGCTCCCCTCCGAGCCCCCTGGCTGCTGCTCGAGGGCACCGTGCAGCAGGACAGGCCCTTCCAGGCCCGAATGCCGCCCGGCTGCTTCCAGCCCGTCCCCCTCAGAAATGTTAGCAGCTTCCGTGCGCTTTGAGTTGAGGCATTTTGAGGCAACTCTGCTTTTTGTGGGGACACCCCTCCTGGAAGGGCAAATAGCAGCGTCGCCACATTCACCAGCTGTGGTGACCTGTTGGTGCCCCACGCGCTACAGTGCTGGGGAGAGAGGACCTGAAATGGTTGGCAGTCACCTGGGCCCCTTATCCCCAGGGTGCAAGAGATCCAGGGCTTCCATTCCGCACACAGCCGTTTCACACTGGCACAAGCTTCCCCCCGTTGGCACACCTAGAAAGAACATAATTGAATTAAACTGTTGGAACACTGTACCAAAGTTTGACTTAATGCAGTTTAATTATTACGGATTTGCCAATTACGTAGTTTGATATTGGCTAATACAGTTGTAAGGTTCATCATGTTCTTATTATTCTGCATTTAAGACACRTTAATCATTGTTTGGAGAAATCTAAAAGGAGTGAATAGCCAGTAGATGGCACTAATAAATCCTGTTGTGAGACTTAAAATTGARAAGTGTCATTCTTGTTTATTTCTCAAATGAAATTTGAAAATGAGAGAACTACACAAGACAGTATTATTAAACAAATTTATTTTAAGTAGTTTAATAGTCAAGGAAAACATTTCAGTTTATAAGATGAGTGCATTTCCCCAAGTTAAAATGCTCCAAGYTAATTGAATACACAGACTCATGGGAAGGCTTAGTAAGAACATACAGATGTTCCTTGCTACGTGGCAACCACAGCACCGAGTACTCAGGACCTGTGTCATCTTCCTCACTCAACTCAAGTATGACCTGGGTAGACTTGAGTCCTTGACAACGATGCTGTGTGGTTTGGGGCACCCACACAGGTCACACATATAAAGATACTGATTTCCTGGATGCTGCAAGGATCTCATCTTTCGTTTGTCTGCAAATGTCAACAGCGCTGTGCCTTTGTAGTGTGGCGTTATTAAAATAGTGATTATGTTAATATTATTCCTTTCCCAAGAGGTTACCTCGCCTTACCTCAGATATTAAGCACAGCGTAAGCAAAACAGGAAACACTCTAACAAATGAGTAAGCCTTCCTCAGAATGATCAAGGCAATCTCACTCTTTGTGGATACTTATAGCAGACTTCTTCATGCCATTTCTTGGGCAGCTCTAACAGCAGCAGCTCTGGGGATGTTTGCCCCAGGGAGCTCCTCTTACCTCCTTGTTGCTGTGGCTCAGGCCGTATTTCCTTTGGGCAATGTCACAAAGGCCGAGGAAAAGGAAATCTGTGCTATGGAGCATGAGTCATTTCCAATGCAAAAGACTGATTCCAACCAGGGCTGTGTTGCAGTGCACAAGCGAGATATGCATGGCACTGATAGCAAAATGACACGTCCTGAGCTAATGCGACATGTAGTTTTGTATGCTCTTCCTTCCAAAATACTGATGCATTAGYGTTAATTTAAGTTTAATTTATTTCTTGAAATGTGCAAATACCAGGAATGCAATGAAGTAATAGTTTTCTGAGCTCAGACACTAACTGCTGTGAGTTGCAAAGCTACTAATCAGAACGTCTGAGGCAGACAAGGGAGCATCCACAGCCTAGTTCTGGGTACTTGTAGTTACACCCATCCCACACCGGATATTGTTTGCACAACAGGACGATACAGTCTGAAATGGCTTCTT